TCAATTTAGCCATCGAGGTGAAAACTGAGGCAACCCACGCTCCTATTATTTTAAACTTGCCATTAATAGCTTTTTAATCAATGTTTTAAATAGCCCAAGAAAGCGTTGGAATGATTGTAGGTTCCACAACCCACCTTCAAATGTAATTAACACTGAACAGTCATTTCTTTATTAAAACATTGTATGTACAACGTTTTCACAGCATATATTCCTACTTTCCATGGCCACCAACATCACCTAACAGACAGAAACCTTTGTGCTATAAGTTACAGTGTGGTTTTGTCGTTGAAGCTGATGCACAACATCAATCTCTGGCTTCCATTTTGCTCGAACCTGTTAAGTTCTCTTCCATATCGCCTACCCCATGAAGGTTTTGATCTAATTATCACAGTCAAAGTACAAAGAAGTGAAGTGGAACACCAACAGTTAAGTGTCAATCTTCCATTGTTCAACAGCCATAGTCATTATGTTTAAGATGTATTTGACTTCCCACACCACCAATTATATTATTCATTTTCTCCAAGATCTTTGAGAGCACAATATAATATTGAGTTTAGAAACCCTATAAGCGCTCTTACCCTGTGGTTGTTACTGCTGTTAGAACATTTACCCAGCATGCCAGTAAAATTAACTGGTTCTTATACTTGGTATTTTTTTGCCTGCTGATCTGTACAGAAATTGCGGCTATGGAAGGAATAGAGAACAGTTCTGCAGTACATGCCAACATTTCATTATAGCTGTAACTTGATCATTTTATTGCATGACTCATGAATTTAATAAGTGTAGCCCTGATACCATTGTTCATAATTGGCAGTTGTCTGCAATGCACTGGGTGGAGTGATTCCTCAATGACTGATTGCTCTGGCAGGAAGAAACTTTCATGTGGGAATAGAGATTTCTACTCTTATTCAGAAGCTGAGGGAGGTTCAGCTCAGTTGTCACCCATGAATACAAATTCAAAGTGTGTTTCCCTTAATCTCCATGACACCCTTAAGTCCTCTCAGTGTAGTGTGGTTACAATAACTAAGTTTACATAGGTGGTATCCATCAACAGTGAATTACTGTGATTGATAGAAGAAATAAAAGCCTGATCATTTATTTTACACTTCTTGAGAAAAATGGTCGTTGCCAGATTGTTTCCTGGCCCTGGCGCTGTGCTAAAGCAACGTTTAATGGAGCGTGGAGAAAGGCCCGGACACTGCTAATGACAGATTTACTTTTTTTTCCAACTGTGCTCAAAAACAAACAACCCATTAGAGAGCCTCGAAATATTTATAAATCGGTCAGATAAATCAATAATGAATTTCCCCTTAGGACATCCATCAATCTTTTTCTGCAAGCATTTGTGTATTGGAGAAATTGATAGCAATGCTCTGTCAGCAATCATATGATGATTTAAGCTGACATAGAACAAAGTATTTTGTGCCATCAGACATCTGCTTATCATTGGCAAAATAAATGAAGAATCTAAATGCTGATGTTCATCCAAGGTACGGAGCTCTTCTCAACACCCTCAGAATATAAATATGACTGTAGAACACATGGTGGAGGATCTGCTCCGATACTATACTGATCTTATTTGTTTACCTTCAACGTAAACACAGTCTGTGATGAACAGAAGGATGAGTACGAGAGGTCACAAAACTACAGAGCTCCAGGAATGCTAGCAACCCTGTAAGGCTGTACTAAGGAAAAGCAGTGCTTTCAAGTAAATGCTAACGTGAGTAAACAAGCCAATACATAACAAATATTACATTTACCAGGTCCAACATCAAACTTTACCCTGGTCGCATGTCAACAATTGCTAATTGGAACCAAACACATAGTACAACTACTCTATGGCTGAGGGTCATTCTTTTAGTTTTGCATGTATTTTAGTCATAAACCAACAAACGGTAGAGGAACACTAAAGTCAACTTGGACCATGTAAATCTATATGAACTTCCTGGTAATTGATAAGTTCCAAGAAATATTTGCTTTGACTAAAGAGGTGAACCTACCAACTGTACAACAGTACAACAATTCAATTCATACAGCTGTGCCAGTAGCATGGCTAAACATGAATCAAAGCCTTAGCTGAGCCAAAAAACTGTATAATATAAGAGTAGTTAAGTTTAGTTTTTTTAGACTTAGCATTGAGTTTGTAGCTGACACTAAAATATTTAATATATAAAAAGAACAGCCTTTTTTTCAATATATTTAAAAAAAAGTAGTAGAGCACACAACTATATGCATATAACTACTGTGTCACAGAACAACAACTGAATCTTCAATGCTATAAAAGGACAGTGAAACAGCTCTCTCCTACTCTAAGATTAAAGGGAGAAGGTCATTCAGTCCCAGCGATAAATCAGCACCACACAAAGACAGATTTATCTATAAACACTGTAGGGAAATACCATTAATAAACATTAAACAGTATCATTCAATTAATTTTGATTATGCTGTATGGGGGAATAGCCCAGTTATTCCGATTAAATAACAGGCAAAGCAAAACAGCCCAAGCCAAACATAAATAACAGCACATAAAAAACAGAGTTAAAACCAGTACTACTATCTGTGTATTTACAGTATATTTTGTCGACATGAAGCAAAGACATTTTTACATTTGTCACCCACACAAATAGGACTCTTTACAACAGAGCCATCAGCTTTAAATTGTGTAGCAATGAGCTGGAAAAGGAGGATGATTAGATGTTATGTTAGCACCTTTATTTAATTCCCTTCTGATTTGAGATGCAAATGACAGCTGTTAGAGATACGCCAGCACAAATCCCACGAAAACAGACAGAGACATGCTTCAAAGGGCTTTGAGAGACATACCCTTGAATAAAAAGGAGAAATGAATTATCCATAAACCTGTGCTTAATTTGAATACAGTCATGTTTACTAAACCTCTTGCTTCTTGGTTTAATTCATTGAAGCCATTCAATATTTGTTTTAAAACCAGCTGATTTCAGAACAATCCCACAACTGACTGCACAATTTGACCGTTCTGTCACTCACAGAATGTGTGCAGAATATGGTCCCAGTTCCTGTAATAACATGCAGATTGTAAGTGTACACAGAAATGATGACCTGTGATTTCATGTGCATAAATATTAGCACATTGTTTGATAGATTAACAGACAACTGCAAAATAACTTTATAATAGTGCTTCAACACAATCCTTAAAAACATACTTAGTTATAGTGATAATCTATTAACCAACATCCAAACAAAACAACAAGCAAAAACAAAAGAGCATACTCTGTTAACGTTTACATCACAGCCATAATTCAAGATTGTCCCAGCATGCACTGGGATAAAAAGCTTAGAAACACTCAGTATTCTTCACTAGGTAATTACTGCTTTAAAGGTCACCTATCATGCTATTTTTAGGCAAAAGCATAGGTCTCAGATATATAAAAATATATAAAAAACATGTCTATGAAGTGTTTTGGTCAAAAAACCAAACAGACCACCCATTCTAGCCATGCCTCATATTCCTCTATTTCACTTCCTGTAACAAAAGTGCTGATTCTGGGTATAAAGCTTTTTTTTGTTTTAAACTGAAAACAATTTAAATAAGAGGGGACGGAGCTTATGCCGACTCATGCGGGACCTGGCAGATACTGTCTAAAATGCTGCGGTGATGAAACGCAAGGATTATTAGATCAAGGATTATTTCTGAAACAGTATGGAGCTCAAATGCTTTCTCTCTTGCGGGTTTACCACAAGGCGAGTTACTTTTTATATCCTGCTTCTTACACATGCTCTCTCCAGTACAGCTTAGCTCTGAGTGTTGGCGATGCTTGCTAATGTAAACAAAGACTATTACGTCCAAAACACACATTTTCTGACACTTTGTGAGTTCCCTGACACACCGGGGACACATATTTATGTATAAAAGACATCAAAAAGTGCATTTTGCCTGATAGGTCCCCTTTAAGATGTTAAGATATGCCGATCGCAGCCATATTTGCAAAGTCTCCAATCAACATAAGCTGCATGTTTTTGAGTGGTGTGAGAAAGCTTAAGTAAACTCAAAGAGAAAAAAGGCTAAATTTAAACTTGTGAAACTTGAGCAGAGATTTCAACTCCAACCTTATCATGAGGCGCTTTCACACCAAGTACTTTTTCCAGGAATAGTTCCCGGAACATAATTCCCCGGAACTCTTTAGTTCCGGAACTATCTAGTAGATCGCATTCACACCGGAATAAGTCCCTGAGGGAGGATTACGCAAATGAGGCCGCTGACGTCACTTCTTCTTCTTCTGCTTTGGGTTTAATGGCAGGCCGCAAACAACTTCACGGCGTATACTGCCACCCAAAGTCCCGGAGTCCCCCGAAGTCCCGGGTAAATCGCCAGAAGCGCCGACACCTCCTCATCACTCCACCGCTCCCACGTTTAATTTTGTGTTGCCATAAGTTAGTCTCTTTCTCTTGGTGCGCTGGGCTAATGCTAATAATGCTAATGCGAGCAAATAAAATGGCGGCTTCACAAAACTTTTTTCTGAGTTTTACGGGGCGTGGTTTGCAATTTGCCCATCCAATCACAAATTGGAACCTTTTCCTCCCCAGGAAAGTACCACCTCTCTAGCAGGGACTGAAAAGAGGTTAAAAGGTTCCCGAAAAAAGTTCTAGTTCCAGATATATTTGGTGTGAAATCCCAGGAACTATCGGAACTATTCCTGGGAAAAGTACTCCGGTGTGAAAGCGCCTAATGTGAGGAAAAAAGAGTCCTAAGCAATTAACCACCATCCTGCAAAATCCTAATTTTTTTTAGACAAGATAAGATAAGAGTGATTATATAAAATGACCTAAGCAGCGTAGCTCAATTTTATACTAGACAACACCCCAAAAAATCCAACCAAATAAATGAACAGCCAGACATGTCACAAACAAGCAATCGATATCTACTTTGAATAATGTAAAGAAGCGGAGCTTTATGGGCAGGTTGATTAAAAAACCACAAGACATATGACATGGTGAAAGTAAGAGGAGGAATGAAGGCTTACGCTGTGTTGCATTGTCCTCCACACAACCCTCTGGGAGCAGCAGAGAAATGAAGAAGAAAGAGATTTAATTGGACATCGGAGAAATTGTGAGACTGAGAGAGAGAATAGCAGCAAAAGAATGTCTATTAGTTAGTGAAGCAAAACATGTAATGATAAATGGTCCTGCTGAAATATTATATCCACCAGCCTCATCTGACTATGAGATTTAGTACCTCAAACTTTTTTATCCACACCAATTTATTTCTGTGAAATCAGTTTAAAAATCTGCTGCCATAACTGATCCATGCAAAGATTGGGACCTGCATACAAACAGCAGCGTCATATGGAAAATTAGTGTAATTACAGTAGTTTCATTCAATGCAATCAGCTTGCTTTAGCAAGATATACATAATCACTTAAACACTTACAGATGTATCAGATATGCATACATTTACACATGGAAATTCAGATGAGTGTGTGATCTAGTCAGTAAGTAACTCACCTTTCTTAGAAGACGTTTTCTTATCTTTTACGATGTAAGATGCTTTCACCTTTTTAGTAATCTTTTTCTATTGCACTTTTTAGATGTATGTTATGAAGCAAAGATGGCGGTTTGATTTGATCTTTTTAAACAGCACTGTATGTAAATATGGGTTGAATCCAGGAATGAATAAGGACATTGCAAAGGCTCTTGTCATGTTTCATAGAACCAGTTTAGTGAATTTAACATGTTGTTTCCTTATATTTAGAGATTACATTTGGACTGTACATTCTGCATCTTCCAATCTGGTTCTCTTCTCCCACATAGTTTCCTCTTTAATCCTGTCAAACAACTTCTACAGCAGAAGATTATCAACTGGGCCTTTTATTTAAAAAGACAATATATGATTTTAGCTAGATTTGCCAAATGAAGAGAGGATTACATAAAATATAAATTGGTATATGGATTGGTCAAAGGACACACTGGTTATGTTATGGTTTAATGATATCCAACCCATAGGCTGACATGTTGCTATTTCACTATTTCAATTTTTTAGCACCTTGAACCATTTTGTAGCAATAGGGAAAATAAGCAAACTTGTAGGCTGCAGAGACTAGAGTTTGAGGAGTGGGTTAACACTGAGTTTACACCTTGTCAAGTTGAGGGACAACGTGTTGATTTGTACTGCAGCTTGGCACTGACAGCAAACTCCTCATTGTGTTTCAGTTTCATGGGGATTGAAACAAATCTTTTTATAGCCTCAAACAATATCTGAGGATTTGCCATCATCCTAAGGTTTGGTGGCAATCTATTTCAGCCCTGCAAATTCTGGTATATGGAACATTCACATTTTGTGTGATGAAGTACATTAAGTAATCTGTAGTATGTGGTTGGTTATGTTGTTTCAGAACGCACCAGTCTATCCAGGCTTGTTCCGGCTGATGTGGTTGGCCTCTCTTCAGGAGTGTAGGGTCTGAAGCGACCACTGAATACATCTGAGATGCCGCGTGCAGATCTGCCAACTCCTGATTGTTTTGGCTGGCCACACCCTTGAAAAACCTAAAATGACCATGGGACAGAGGGAGATCCAATGCAAAAGTGAAAGACGACACAGAGTAGACTTCTTGGGGAAATCACACAGCTTTTGCAACATTTTATAACATGTTTTTCCATTATTATAAGATGTGAGCTCATTGCAGTACCGATAAGTTAAAAGGAGGTAATCAGCATGAGTTGTACAGTGGGGTAAGTCAATCTCTGGTAGAATATACATCCATCTTGAACCCATAACAGATCTGGGTTACTTACACAACCAACATTTTTCCCTTTAAGGCTTCTGTCAATTTGGTCACAGCACAATGTATGGTCTGTGATTTGAAATATAAAACTATATAGAGCCAGCCTGGAACCAATGCTATCTATCAGTGAGCAGTCTCCTTTCACAGGAAGTGGCAAATTGGTGGCAAAAAAGAGAGAAACAAATCTTTGTATGCTATAATGTTTATGTATACCCATACAATCTGGTGATTTTAACTTGAATTTCTAGGTCAAAATCCTTTTTGGCCCATACCAATTAACACATAAATACATAACAAATTAGTTGATGATTACATAGTTTAATGTGGCCAATAACACATATTTGTATGTTGAATAGAACAATGTCATCCTGTAACTATGATACATTTGCCTTCATAAAATATAGAATGTCTTGTTCCGGTAATCAATGGGTAGTTCATAGAGGTCCACTGTGAGAATAGATTGTTTTCAGATGGCTTGGTCTCTACAGGCTCTGACGGCCCAAACAGCTCACCTCCAAAGCACACGGCTCATTAGCATTCCTCTCTGGCCTGTATGTGATGGAGCACTCTAATGTGCTGCATGGCTGTCAGGACAAGAGGCTGTCTTTTCTCTAACATTTATCAATTCTTCACCATGATTACAATTCCACTATATTGTACATCACGCAAGCAAACCGATTTTCAACAGGTCTGCGCAGCAGGAATGAAAGCACTGTACTTATGGTCAAAATACGACCGTGGGGGAAAGATTGTAATCTCGGAGCAATCTGTCAGCCAAGCACAACCGTGCAGGGATGGAGCATCAAGTGCATAGACAATGGGTACAGTTGTAAATTGCAGCCCTTTTGATATGGAAAAGAATGTGACATTTAATTCAAACTGACCTTTGTAACTCTGACAGGAAGATAGGCCAGACTACACCAAAGGGTCTGAATAAGAAATTGAACTAAAACAAAAGCCTTTTGACAAGAAAGACAATGACTAATGTCACAAAGTGAATAAAGTCAGTATGTTAGACAGTGGGACGGATGGTTAAACCTTTTATATAATTGTTGCATGTTACATAATAGTGTTGTGATTTTAATGTTGTGCGCTGTTTAGCGATGAACTCTTTTTTATTTACATGCTTGTTTAACCTCCTCAACGAACTGTCACAACAAAGACACAGACACTGCTGATTGACACACCGGCACCCAGTGAAAATCAGCGATCTCATTCGCCAGTTGCCAAATCCACTCCCCCATAAATACGCCGACCACCTGCTAGACGGCAGCTATTCTTCTCTTGACAGTTGCTGCCTCACCTCGCCGCAGATCGGACCGGATCGGATCCCTCCTGCTCCTCCTCACCTCGCAGCAAATCGGAGTCTCCTTTTGTTGTTTACCGAGGGCTCCGAGACCAGAGGCTGACGGACAGAGGGCTGCGGGCCGGCAACGTGGAAATCCTGGCACTGGATTTCCTGGAAGGGACTTGAACCTTGCACTTCTGCCTGGCAAAAACCCGGAGTTGAGTTCGCTTCCAAGCGGACAGGACTTTCAGGATGTTATCAACCCCTACTAGAACTGTAATTCTTAAGTAACTGGTTTATATTTATTGAACATTATTTTAACCTTACGTTATTTTAAGTATTTATCAAAGGAGTGTTTTTAAAGTAACTTTGTACAAATAAACCATTTTACACCTATTGTGCTGTATTGGTGTGGCCAGGAATCTGAATCTTTTAATATAAATTTGATGTTAACAGGCCTCACTAGGCTGTTACATTAGTGGCGTTGTCGGCAGGATTCCTTTTCCACACCATACAGTGCAGAATGGCAGATGAAGAATATGAAGCTGCAAGGCCCAGTGGGTCATCAGAAAATGGGGGCAAGCTAGAAAATAGTCAGCCTGTGGTAAATGCAATGATGCCTTGGTTTATGGGTGTCCCATGGATCCCAAAGTTCAGTGGTGACCGAAGCAAGATGTGTTTTTCTGAATGGCAGGTTCAGGCAATGCTGAGGGCACAAGGGTTAAATGAGGAACAGAAAATTGATTTTATTTTTGGGGCACTTGAGGGTGACGCAAAAAGGGAGATGCGGCTGCTTGACCCCAACAAACTCTCAAGTAGCATAGCCATACTGCAGGAGTTAAAGAGACTGTATGGACGTGTAACCCCAGTAGCCCAGCTTCGGAAGCAGTTTTTCAATTGTTTCCAACAGGAAGAGGAAACTGCTGCTTCTTTCCTCCTTCGGCTCCGTGAACTCAGCCCAGGATGAGAGGACTATCCGAGACCAGCTTGTCCTTGGTTTGGAGCCCGGTATGGTACAACAGGAACTTCAATGGCAGGTGCGTAGAAATCCTACAATGTCCTTCTGTGAGGTGTCTGGTGAAGTTAAAGCATTAGAAACTGAACTAAGGATGGAGTCTGCCTGTGCATCACGTGTTTCAGTGCCACAGCCACGACCGGCCATGGCACCACCTAGCCTGGAAGAATGGAGAGAAACAGTAAGAACTGAACTCAGGAAAGAAATGAAAGACCAACTGTCCATTATTACAGAGACTCTTACAGAAGAGATCAGACGCCAACTCTCACCACAAAATGCCCCAGTTGGGCACAGAGACTCTACCCCACCCCCTAACAGACTAGCTCAGAGAGGCCATAACGCATCCTCCCCCAGGCAACAAAGGTTCGAGTGGGACCAACGTGGTCAACCTATTTGCAGAGGCTGTAGGCAGGCTGGCCATATTCAGAGAAACTGCCAGCATGTAAGGGGGCTGTTAAACTAACAGCCTCAGCCACTGAGAGCCATGTGGTTGGGGAGGGGAATCAGGGAAACCAAGCAGACAGGCCCTCTATTGTTGGGGAGTGCCCAGGGGTTGACATACTAGTAGCAGGAGTAAAATTGCCCTGCTTTCTTGATACAGGCTCACAAGTTACGCTGTTTAGTGAAACTTTCTTTCAGAAATGGTTGAGTGGAGAACAGAAAAGAAACCCACAAGATCTGCACTGGCTAACGCTCAAGGCAGCCAATGGACTAAAGATCCCCTACACCGGGTACGCCATCCTGGATTTCTCAGTGGGAGGAGTCACTGTGCCAGGAAAAGGAGTCATCATTGTCAAAGATGAGTGTCTGAAGGCGGAAAGAGGTATAATAGGGATGAATGTGATTTCACACTGCTGGAAATAACTGTTTCAGGGTGTCCACCCCGGGCTGACTGCATTCGGAGCCACCATGTCCCAACAAGCCAAAGGAGAGTGGGAACGTGCCTTTGCTGTCTGCCAAAAGGTGTCACAAATCGATTCCTCGGATGGACCGGTGGGAGTGGCCAGGTTGACCCGCCAGGAATCAGTGGTTGTGCCTCCAAACAGCGAGATGGTGCTCTGGACACAGCTGTATGGGGCGGAGACCAAGTCAGATTGTTGTGCCCTGGTGGAAGGACCAGAAAGAGATGACGAGTGGCAGGTAGCCTGCACCGTCGCCTGGGTGGTGAAAGGACGGCTCCCCATAAGGGTATGTAACCCAAATCCTTACCCAGTCACAATACCCCAACGGCGCCCGCTTGCTAATGTCTTCCAGGTTGAACCAAGCCAGATTCGGGGAGAAAAGGACCTTGTACTGAAAGCCTCAGACCCAGGTGTAGTAGAGGTGGATGTCCAGGTGAACCGGGTCACCGTTGAAGGCCAGCATCCAGTCAACCTGCTAAAAGGGGAGGGATTGTTGACCGAACAACAGCAGAAAATGGACTCCCTGTTGCAGCGATGGCGGGATGTCTTTGCAGCAGGGGATGAGGATTTTGGTCAAACTGATGCAGTCCTCCACTCCATCCCCACAGGCTCTGCACCACCTAGCCGGGAGCGCTACAGGCCAATCCCACCAACCCTCTACCCTGAGTTGAGGAGCCTCATCCAAAACATGTTGGACACAGATGTTATCAAGGAAAGCTCCATCGTATTGGTAAGGAAGAAAGATGGATCCTGGCGCTTCTGTGTCGATTACAGAAGGCTCAATTCTCTGACTCACAAAGATGCCTACCCCCTGCCAAGAATTGAAGAATCCCTCACAAGTCTCAAACAAGCTACTTGGTACTCCACTCTGGACCTCGCCAGTGGATTTTGGCAGGTGGAAATGGACCCAAAAGATCGGGAGAAGACGGCATTCACCACCCCCATGGGCCTCTACGAGTTCCAGAGGATGCCCTTTGGCCTTTGTAATGCCCCAGCGACTTTCCAAAGACTAATGCAGCGCTGCCTGGGAGGACAGGTCCAGGAGTCTCTACTGATCTATTTGGATGACGTGGTAGTATACTCCCCTGATTTTGACACCCACATTGAACACCTGGAGCAGGTTTTCGAAAAGCTGGCCGCCCACGGCCTGAAGTTGAAACCCCATAAATGCCACTTGTTTCGGAAAAAGGTCACCTACCTCGGACACGTCATCTCGAAGGACGGAGTATCCACAGACCCTGAAAAGACCGCCGCTGTAAGGAACTGGGCAACCCCTTCAACCATCAAGCAGGTACGGTCATTCCTTGGATTTGTAGGATATTACCGTAGATTTGTGAAGGGCTTCTCCAAAATCGCTGCACCCCTTAACGCTCTCCTAGTAGGTTCTGCTAGCATGCGACAAGGGAAGAATGCCGTGGATTGGACTGCAGACTGCCAGGTGGCATTCGATGCTCTGAAGACTGCGTTGGTGAGTGCCCCAGTTTTGGCCTTTGCCGACTTCGCAAAGCCATTCCATCTCTACACTGATGCTAGCCTAGGAGGATTGGGCGCAGTGCTATCACAAGTACAGGATGGCAGGGAGAGGGTTATTGCTTATGCCAGCAGAAGCTTACACCCCACTGAAAGGAACTACAAAAATTACAGTTCATTCAAACTGGAGTTTTTGGCCCTCAAGTGGGCTGTCACTGAGAAATTCAAAGACTATTTGTGGGGCAACACATTCCTGGCTTTTACAGACAATAACCCACTTGTCCACCTGAACACAGCACACTTAGGTGCCACTGAACAGCGGTGGGCAGCCCAGCTGGCAAACTTTGACTTTGACTTGAAATATCGCCCTGGCTCTGCAAACCAGAATGCTGATCTTTTGTCCAGGTTTCCACAAGACGCAGAACCCACCCAGCAGACCCAAGCAGAGACAGCAGTGGTGGAATTGGAGGAACTGAAGACCATTGGAAGCATTGTCAGGAAGGAGACCAAGCACTGGTCCAAGTGAAAGGGTGGGTGGCAAGAGCACACTTCCCACTACCTGAGGAAAGGAAAGTCAGCCTGCAGTAAGATGTCTCTTGCGAGAATGGAGCCGGTTATACATCCAGGAAGGTGTGTTGAAGCGGAGAACTCAAGAGCGTCATACTGGGCTGAACCTCTCCCAAATTGTGGTGCCCACTGGCAAGACACAGGAGCTGTGGGAAAAGTATCACCAAGCCTCAGGACACATGGGCATAGCCAAGATCGATGCCCTGCTGAGGAAGACTTTCTACTGGGTAGGGATGGGAACTGACCTACAGACATGGGCATCCAATTGTGCGAGCTGCACCCAACAGAAAAAGGGCCCAGAGGTAAGAGCACCTTTGGTTCCTATCCTAACATCATACCCTTTGGAAATGTTCTCAATCGACTACCTGTCTCTTGGCCGGCATGGCGACACTTACCCTTATCTATTGGTTATGACTGACCTTTTCACAAAGTATGGATGGGCTATCCCTAAAAAAGACCAGACGGCAGCCACCACAGCTCGTGTTCTCTGGAGACACCTCATCCAACCATGGGGTTGCCCAGAACATATCCTGTCTGACCAAGGGGAAGCCTTTGAGGCAAACCTGGTAGCACAGCTGTGCAGCCTTTATGGGTGTGTGAAGGTCCGAACCACACCCTACAGGCCCCAAGGAAACGGGGCCTGTGAAAGATTTAACAAGACTCTGTTGTCTCTTCTAGGATCATTGAGCTTGGCGGACCAAGTACACTGGCCAGACCACTTGCCTTCTCTGCTCCAGATGTATAACAATACCACTCATGAGACGACTGGAATGACCCCACATTTTGTAATGTTTGGCCGGCATGCCCGCCTGCCTGTTGAAACTGCGGTGAAAGCACCACCACTGACTCAGAGACATGACCTGGTAGGCTGGGTACATCAGCATAACCTGACCTTGCAGAGAGTCTACAAACAAGTGGCAGCAAGGACCAAAGCAAACAGACTGCGAGACAAGGACAGGTACGATCGGAAAGCAAAGCACCTCCCCTTGTTACCCGGAGAGCGGGTGCTGTTGCGAAATTTCCGCCGCAGAGGGGAGGGAAAGTTGGCGCCCCACTGGCAGCCCCAACTCTATGTTGTTCATGATCAACTACGCCCCGGCCTGCCAGTTTTCCAGATCAGGCCAGAAGGAAAAGAAGGCCCTATTAAGACAATTCATCGTAACCATCTTAGGCCTTGCCCTTTCGATCCACCTGAAGTACCACATCATGCCCCAGAGATTGAAACAAACTCAATCTTCCCCAATTCGCTACTTCCCAGGCCCCTGTTGTTGCCTTTGACCCTTGTGCCCATAGTAATTGCTCCTCCCACAGGTCCCGTAGGAGAGGACCCTGTGGCCCCACAAGAGCACAGAAATGCATCACCCCTACGAAGGTCTCAGAGGCAAAACAGGGGTAGGCCTCCAGACAGGTATGGACAGTAAGATTGTCGGGACGACAACTGTTAAAGGGGGGAGGAGTGTCACAAAGTGAATAAATTCAGTATGTTAGACAGTGGGACGGATGGTTAAACCTTTTATATAATTGTTGCATGTTACATATAGTGTTGTGATTTTAATGTTGTGCGCTGTTTAGCGATGAACTCTTTTTATTTACATGCTTGTTTAACCTCCTCAACGAACTGTCACAACAAAGACACAGACACTGCTGATTGACACACTGGCACCCAGTAAAAATCAGCGATCTCATTCGCCAGTTGCCAAATCCACTCCCCCATAAATACGCCGACCACCTGCTAGACGGCAGCTATTCTTCTCTTGACAGTTGCTGCCTCACCTCGCCGCAGATCGGACCGGATCGGATCCCTCCTGCTCCTCCTCACCTCGCAGCAAATCCGACTGGATCGGATCCCTCCTGCTCCTCCTCACCTCGCAGCAAATCCGACCGGATCGGATCCCTCCTGCTCCTCCTTACCTCGCCGCAGATCGGACCGGACCCTCCTCTAATCATCGGATTCAACGCTGAAACAAACTCCAGATAAAGGGAAGTGGCTATTTCTCCTGCTTTTGGGCGTCTAGTTTTACGTCACGAAAGTTACATTGTTGTCTCCTCCCCTGAGTCTCCTTTTGTTGTTTACCGAGGGCAGACCAGAGGCTGACGGACAGAGGGCTGCGGGCCGGCAACGTGGAAATCCTGGCACTGGATTTCCTGGAAGGGACTTGAACCTTGCACTTCTGCCTGGCAAAAACCCGGAGTTGAGTTAGCTTCCAAGCGGACAGGACTTTCAGGATTTTATCAACCCCTGCTAGAACTGTAATTCTTAAGTAACTGGTTTATATTTATTGAACATTATTTTAACCTTACGTTATTTTAAGTATTTATCAAAGGAGTGTTTTTAAAGTAACTTTGTACAAATAAACCATTTTACACCTATTGTGCTGTCCTTCTCGCTGTATTGGTGTGGCCGGGAATCCGAATCTTTTAATATAAATTTGATGTTAACAGGCCTCACTAGGCTGTTACACTAACACTTCTGTGATTGATAACCTCCTGAATGAGCTGCTGGAAATTAAAAACTTACAAAGAATGATCAGCAAAAGAGAGGGAAGAGGTAGATTGTTGCTCACCTCTCTTTTAAAGACTCACCTTTATATGGTTATATTTCCTCATTATGTTCATAAAAAGTTACTGATGTGTTGAATAAACTCTTTCAAAATCGTACTCAAATGTTGAGCCAGAAAGCTCAGTTTGCAGCTAAATAATTGTATCGTTTTTTTTCTGCATGCAGCGGTGTCATTTGACGAGACAGTGATGAAGTAGTATGAAAGGAATTACTACCAGATGTTTCAGTCTGTATAACTACTTTGTGCTCTATAATGTTTAAAAATAAATTGCATTACGACCATAGCTGATTGAGAAGACGGTACCTTGGCTGACACTTGCATGCTGTTGTCCTGCATGGTCATGATGGCATCAGAGATCTTGATGTCGACCGGCTCGATAACAGCTTCAATGTTGAAGGGTCCCTCCAGTCTGTCTGCCACCAGTAACATGGCATCTGTCATAACAGAGGACACATGTCAGCGCAGTGAAATATCAAACATTCACACATAGATATTTAACTAATTCTGTTTACGCACACATCAATATGTTTACATCATGTCTGGGCATTAACAATACTCAGTGCAAACCCTCAGGGTTCTTTGCTTCATTATAAATCTAGGACATTGCTCCAAAGACTGTTTCCTCATCCAAATGTGTTGACAGTCAACAATCACAAACACAAAAGGAACCTGCAAGACCTTTATCTAGACACTCAAACACACACTATTAGTAAGAGATCTCTGGAGCAACCAAGGTGTTTGTAAGAGGATGTGCAACATCACGTATGAATTACATTTCAATGTGCTTAGCTTACAAATAGCTTATTCATAAAAACAAATCATTGACTTGCAAACATGCTAATCACTGCAGTTTAACAGAGAGCCACAACACTTCTGATTTATTCATCAATTTGCATTGGTAATTCTAAATTGTGAAAACATATCAATGAGATATAAATGTACGCCTATGTATCATTCTTGTACTCTAATTACTTTTTAATAACTTTACATCTCAGACACTCAGTGCTTGACTTAGTTCTTTCTGGAACATGTGAATTCACTAACACACCAAAAGCATGCAATTACTTTGCATCACCAAAATACATCACTCAGATCATCTGACGCAGGTAATTTACTCAGGTACAGAGTTGTAATGATTCCCTGCTTTTTTTGTCAAAACCCTAACTTCTGACTTAGCATCTAATCATGTCTTTTGAAAACAATACAAACCAAAGAATATTCTCTGGTTTTATTTAAATGGTCAAAACAAACCAACAATCACAGAGACCATAATCTTATTAGTGTGAATAAGTCTCGGCATGAATCAATACCTAAAACGGATAACCCATCAAACTGCCACTTTGCATTTTTCATTATAACTTTGCGATATTAACATCAATACAGAGGAACGGCTCTATTGATCGTGTCGGATAGGGAGGTATCAGTTGTGAAAATAATGTGTTTGATACTACCGCTTAACTCTATCTAATCTCTCCAAAAAAGTCTGGCAAGTCTTGTTTGAGGTGTAGTTAGTGGTTAAGTGGTGAGGGCAGGGAACAGTGATATCAATAACACTTCATCTCTGTGCACTGACATTTGCAGGGATGTGGATCAATAAGCGAAATTATAGTCACACCTACGGGAGCTGTTCCCTATGAAAGGGCAGCAGAAACACAGTTCCTCTACCACTTAAGCAGAAGTAGAATGACATAGGATCATAGGTCATCAACTAAATGTTGATGCAGAGTGCTCATTGGACTCTGTGCAGCTCTATGAGCTGAGGGGGCGACGCCTGACGGTATAAGCAAGGGCCCAACCATTGGAAAAGTGACTGCATCTCATAAAAACTGCCAAAAAAAAACCTTGCAAAACGGTTTCTGTTGACATACTGTAAGACCAGTTATTTTGAATAGAAAAAAACCCTACCTTGGACTAGGGCTGCACGATTTGGGGAAATAATCTAATTGCGATTTTTCTGACAGATATTGCGATTGCGATTCGATTTGCGATATTTGTTTTTAAGCGACCCAACGGAAGTTTATTGTAAAATGCGGCCATATCTCCGGCTAGGAAGGTCGCATCAACATGCTCCCGTCTCTAGCACCCCTGCAGCCCGAGCTACGAGTGAAAGAACTAAACTTACATGAAACTTCCGTTGGGTTGCTTTAAAGTCAAGCTTCAGTTTAAGATTCACCCTGTAATAGATGTAAAACATGTGATGGAGCATTACTAACCTGACTCAGATGGTTTGTTTCACCAAACCATCTAGGAGAGCTCCATTGGAAGCCATTTGAAAAGGGCAGGCACTTGGCCACAAAAATACTTGTCAGGTGATTGGATCAATCTGTCGTTGCAACCCAGTCTCACGGCATTTCGTGTTCACCAACACGATTTTTAATCTATTGATTCGTGTTCACCAACACGATTTGCCCCTTTTTTTCGTGTTGCACAGCACGATTTTAAAAGCAATGTATTTCTACTGCCTGCAGCACGTCTTTTTCTCCGGTCGGGTCGAGGAAGACCGGAAGCTGTGTGGTTCATAAAAACATGTTCTTACTCAATATCAAGCCACAGTTATTGCTTTTATTTGAAATCGTATAATTTCGGACTTTTGTTGCCGTCTGTGAGGAAAATAAATGGGACTCAGAGCCTCAGGATACTGAAATCTGTATTTTTTAAATCTTTTTTTCCTTCTAATTTGTTATTCTTTTCAAAATAACACACTATTATTTACTCACCAATAACACACAATTATCCTTGCTTTTATTTATTGGTTTAATTCCATAATCTCGGGCTTTTTTGGCGTCCGTCAGGAACTGAATTTCAAAATAAAAATAACCGGAAACAGACGTAGGCATTTCGAGCGATTACCCAAGATCCTCAGCTATGGTTTTAAGCTCGCTTATTGGATGTTTTAGCCGTAATGCATGCTGGGATTTGGTGTTTATATGATATGAAATCCGGAAAACATTTTAAAAGAATAAAATAATACTTAATTCCGAGCGCTCTTGCTTTTCTCTTTGAAAGTCATCACATAACGGCATTGTAATACACGGTTCGGCTGCATTGTATATTACAGATCTGCCGTAGTTCTTTATTTATGGAGCCCTGATGAGAAGACCTTTGGAAAAACTGAGAAAATGCCGCCGAAACTGAATACTTGACGTGGATCATAAATATATTCAACAATTAAACAACATCTTCAATTTCTCTTCACACAATACGTCTCCTTGCAGTATCAACACTAATTCGGCTGACTTTTACATTTGATCTAATTCACAGATAGGTTATATTTACACCATAACGGTGCACAGCTGATATAAAAGGACTGTAGTTTTTAAAGATATTACTGATTTTCTTTGAATGTAAGAATATAAATACTGAGTCTGAAATAGTATAGCAATATGCTGTAAAATTATGTGAAAGCATGCATAAAACTTCACATTTTCAGATGTTGTACGAAAACAAAAGTGTCCTACACTAATAATACAAAGTTATTATGGCTGTGTGTACCTTGTGTGCACCGCCTAGTGGTTAAAGCACGTTATTGAATTATTATGTTTTATTTGATTAAAAAAATATTAAGAGTACATACTTTCATAGGGGGAAAGTATAAATATAGAATATAAAAAATCAAGAAGATACTATAAGTGATCTCTACAATAAAACAGTTTAGTGCAGAATGTACAAAGATATTAATAGGAGGAGGTGCAAAACAGAAAAACGAATTAACCTTTATTTAAACATTAAATAACAGATTAAGGTCTTCTTTTAAATAAGAAAAAAACTTTGGGGGTATCTATCTACAGATAAATATTAAGCCTGACAAAGTACTTAACGTCTAATATATTGCTTTCCTGCAATGTTAACTATGTTGAAGCACTTATTTTAACTGATATTATACACATTAATTATACTCTTATGTATGTAGATAGAATAAGAAATGTGCAGAATATGACAGTTTAATGGTGGAGGTACACACATATTGATAGATGTCTTGTAATGCACTGTTGAGGAACCTGTGACCCAAGTGTGTCATTCATTGCATAACTACACCGTAGTTGTGTATATGATATGTCAATAAACCTTTGAAAATCTTGAAAGGGATGTGCAAAATAGCCATAATATACAGTCTTTAATTAACTATTAGTAGAGAATAACGAGTAATGAATATGCTTTATTACTCGTTTCCATTCATGTCAATTGCAGATACATGTTTAGTCTTCTCAAGCACCAACTATCAAATATCTCTCCCGATTGTTGGCACTTGACAATCACCTTACCTGAATTTTACTCAGGTGTAAATAAAGTCTGATTTAAGGGTTGTTTATATTTCACATAATTAATCAGAATCTGCAAAGTAACTCAAATAAATGCAGTGGAGTAAACATACCAGGTTAACCTCTGAATTGTAGTGGAGTATTACAAAGTAACAATGAGCTGTCATGTGGGTATTAATGCTGTGCATTATGGACACAAACGATTTTCACCCATTTATTAATTATATGTTTTACATTTGATAACACCAATGTGTTTAATACTGGCAACTTCTAATTGTGGGAAAAAAAAGAAAACGTTCAGTAGAGACGTCCCATAATGTAGTTCTGGGGGGGCGTTCGATTCCAGTTTTGGATAGTCTGGCGTGGTTTCGTTCCATTTCACACAGCTGTTTGACGCTCTGCGTAACCTTACGGGGACTGTAGTCCTAAACGATAGCTGGGGATTATGGGTAGTGTAGTGTCTTCGGCCATCCTAAACTCAGAAATGTTGACAATCGCAATGATGCTCGAAATGTCCCTTATAGGCCTACGTCTGTTTCCGGTTATTTTTATTTTGAAATTCAGTTCCTGACGGACGCCAAAAAAGCCAGAGATTATGGAATTAAACCAATAAATAAAAGCAAGGATAATTGTGTGTTATTGGTGAGTAAATAACAGTGTGTTATTTTGAAAAGAATATCGAATTAGAAGGAAAAAAATATTTAAATATACAGATTTCCGTATCCTGAGGCTCTGAGCCCCATTTATTTTCCTCACAGACGGCAACAAAAGTCCGAAATTATACGATTTCAAATAAAAGCAATAACTGTGGCTTGATATTGAGTAAGAACATGTTTTTATGAACCACACAGCTTCCGGTCTTCCTCGACCCGACCGGAGAAAAAGACGTGCTGCAGGCAGTAGAAATACATTGCTTTTAAAATCGTGCTGTGCAACACGAAAAAAAAGCGGCAAATCGTGTTGGTGAACACGAATCAATAGATTAAAAATCGTGTTGGTGAACACGAAATGCCGTGAGACTGGGTTGGTCTATCACCTTATATCATGGGCCACTTCTGATTGGTTAACAATGGCTGGTACATGTGGAGCACAGCACTTCTGATTGATGTGGATGACTGACACACAATAAAAAAAGAAAAAAAATGTGAAAAAAAGAAAAAAAAGAATCGCAATTT